TCAGCAGCCAGCAGCCGGGTGCTGACGTAGAAATGACGCTCCCCACTGCCAACACGGACGCACTCTCAGCCTCACCCTCAGAGTGGAGAGCAGTAGCTGATGGAACATTCAGGAAGATGCTGCTCCGGCCTGTAGGCTCTGCCTCCCAAAGCCCCAGGCCTGAGAGACCCGTGGCGCCCAGGACTGGGTGAACTCTGATGAAATGAGGGCCCCCAGGTGTGGCCATGACAATAATCTCCCATGCCCTTCATGCTGTAACACTGACTTGAAGACAGCTACCCGCCTGGGGCCAGCAGGCAAGAATCCTGGTTGAACTGCCATGTGGACAGCAGGGGGCAGTCTAGCACAGAGGACGATGTATAGGCGGTACACCACACAGGCCAGGGCTCCCATTCTGGCTCTACCTATGGCAGGGTGGGGAACCATTTTTCTGCTTAGGGCCATTTGGATGTTTATAACATCATTCTCAGGCCATACACAATTATCAGCTTAACAATTAGCCTGCTATATTTGGCCAAACCTTTGATTAACTCACCCCTAATGCCTTGGCAGGGCCAGACCAAATGATTTCGCGGCTTTATAGAGCCCTCGGGCCAGACGTTCCTCACCCCTGACCTATGGGGTGAATGACCTCCAGCCAGTTCATTAACCATCTGATAACGATAATTGGGATAGTGCAGTTGTCGGCAAATTCATTAGTCAACAGAGCCAAATATCAACAGTACAACGACTGAAATTTCTTTTGAGAGCCAAATTTTTTAAACTTAAACTATATAGGCAGGTACATTGTTATTAACTTAATTAGGGTACTCCTAAGCTGGCCTTTGCTAAAAACGTCCTCAGTCTGATTGAGGTACGTTTGCTGAGGTCGACCCCTTCCAGCTCTCCCATCCACACTCGTCTTGTAGCCAGTCTCACTCAACTTGTGCATGAATCACGCGCGCCTTCCCCGCGCTGCGTATCCCGTGGCCCGTCCTGCACGGCGTCTCCCGTCACCCGACCAACCGACACCCCCACTTCTTCTAACGCCACTTCTTCAAAATAGACTCACCCAGGCTGAAAACCGACTTCTGCGCATGGGCCACAAAGTTTCAATCGCACTGTACGAGAGCCACACTCAAGAGGCCAAAGAGCCGCATGTGGCTCGCGAGCCGCGGTTTGCCGACCACTGGGATAGTGGATACTACTGTGTTGGTATGAAAACGGTATGAAGTAACGTGCTAATCGAGTGCCGCGCTGGCTGAATAGCAGAACCACTGAGGGCACTTGAGACAGAACCTCTGGGAACCAGCAGGAGGACTGGCACTTCTAAGAGCTCCCGGAGCATCATGACAATCACTCGGGGATGCCCCTGTCGACAATGTTCCACTCAAATCTCGTCTCAAGCAAAGGATCTGTATCAATATCAATATCTGTAACTTTGAAATACACCCAAAATTAAGACGGATGGAGAGCTATGGGATAAAGCAAGTGGAAGGGAATGTGAATGAGGAAATCTAGGTGGTGGGGATGAGGGTGTTCATGAGGAAATGGTTTAAATAAACTTTTAGTAGAACACAGCCGTGCCCACTTATGTACACATTGTCTGTGGCTGCCTTTTCTGCCCTGTGGCAGAGTTGAGTAATTGCGACAGACCGTGTCGCGTGTGAAATATTTACTATCTGGCCTTCACAGTAAACGTTTGCAGACCTCTGTTCTAGATTGAGAAACTAGAGACATGGCAGCCAGTACTGAGGCTGACCCTGGATTTAAGACAAACAAAACAGCTCGGGAGAACATTGTCAGGGTGAGTGTGCAGTTTTATCACGGACTGTACAACAGTGTCACAGCACAGGCTAAACTTCCTGAATCTTGTACTTCTACTGAGTTATATAAGGAAATATCCTCATTATAGGAAACATTCTCTGAAGTACTGAGGATAAAGAGATAAGATGTCTCCAGAAACATCTCTGTATCAATGCTCGATGATACAGAAAAAATGTGTGTGTGTGAATATACAAATGTATCTAACATATAGTATAAGTTTAATAGAAAGACATAGCAAGATAGCAACAACTGGTGAATGTTCACTGTCTGACAGTAGCCTTTCTACAGGTTGGAAATTATTCAAAAAAGACGGGAGAACACCAAGTGGTTCCCTGAGTGAGTGTGCAGGTGCGTTGAGGCTTAGGGAGTCATGTGTGAATGTGCTGTGTGGGGCCTGGCGCACAGTAGGCACTCTGCAAACAGAGGTGGCCTGGGCCAGGGAGGGCGTTTGACAAAGCTGGCGGGACAATGCGTGACTAGTCGACAAGTGTAATCACTCACGCGCTCACGCAGGGTTTCATCCATTCACCCCGTATGTTTTCACTGAGCACCTACAGTGCAGGGCCCTGTCCAGGTGCTGCACGTCCG